CTTACATCATACGTACATCTGCACTTTGTTGTTTATGATGAGAGAATTCGCGTGAGAGCTGAATTCAGTCGGCGAGCGCCTGCAGTGAGCTAAAAATTCATCTGAACGCCACTGATTGGTCATTGCATTCATAACCTCAACAGACTCATGTGTGATTGGTTATAATGCGCAACACTGTAAAAACGCATAAAAAAATCATAGCGCAACATTGAGCAGATCTAAATGTAATGTTGCGGTAAACTTTACTTTAAAAAACTTCACTTTATTCGCGACAGCCGTAATGTATTTAGTTTAACTGTACAGCAGCATTTGTGTCTGTGTGTTGCCATAGTTTCTACAAGCGGAAACTGAGGATAGTGCGGATACCACGTCATTGATAGGCGACAATGACCAGGGACGAGCCATTATTAAAATTGGAATTTCTCTGGATTTACAAATCCTTGGGAACTTTTGGGATAACATAAATACACAACTGCATGAAATATATCAGAATGAGCTTTATTGCCAGGTATGTTTACACATACGAGGAATTTGTTTTCGTGACAGAAATGTTGCGGTAAACTTTACTTTAAAAAACTTCACTTTATTCGCGACAGCCGTAATGTATTTAGTTTAACTGTACAGCAGCATTTGTGTCTGTGTGTTGCCATAGTTTCTACAAGCGGAAACTGAGGATAGTGCGGATACCACGTCATTGATAGGCGACAATGACCAGGGACGAGCCATTATTAAAATTGGAATTTCTCTGGATTTACAAATCCTTGGGAACTTTTGGGATAACATAAATACACAACTGCATGAAATATACCACACCGTCCAAGTAGTTTTTGGATATTTGACTATGAAAATCTTACATACTGTGCCTTTAATAATATAATTGCATACAAGTTTCATCATTATGTGAACTGAAACAGTTCATTGAATCGAACTGTCTGAAAGAACCAGGTCACGGAAAATAATCAGACTTCCCTGTTTGCATGAGGCTCTGGATCACAGGTAATAATGTTGTAAATAATGTTCAGTTTCTTGCACAGACCGATTGTTTCGCTTCATAAGACCTCAATATATCATCAGGAGCCACAGGGACTCTTTTTGTGTTTCCTGATATGCTTTTTTTATTTTCAAAAAAGGGCAGCTGCTGACTTGAATTTATGAGTCACCAAGAAGCACGGTTTCAGCTAAAAATCTTCTTCACTGATTTCACTACTGAAGAACAACTAAGTCACCTACACCTAGGATGGCCTGAGGGTGAGTAAATTAGTAAATGCTCTTTTTTGAGGGGTGAACTATCCCTTTAATTGAGCGACACACTTGATAACAACAGCTCACACATCCTTAAAACAACAATCACCATATTATCGTAGACTGCATATATCGCACACCCCCATTGTTAGGCAGTCTGTTAAAATGACATGGATCATGATTTGAGAGGTTGGTCATATGATCCTCCACGAAGCAATTTCATCCATAAGTTGATTGAAATCCAGTCATTATTCTTTTATCCAGTGTGCAAGCCAAAGACAGCTACAGCAAGGAACTAATAACTCTATGTGGTGTTGGATAATGGGAGACAACAACAAAATCCTCCTCTGGCTATACAGTCAAATATAGCGTCAATAACTAGCTGCTGAATTACTGATTGAGCTGTGAGATTCATCTGTGAGGGTCTTTGGTATGATTTCCAACACATGCACACTTACAATTCACACGCACGCACCATGAAAACTGCATATTGATTGCATTGAAGTACTATTGAGTGTCACATTTGCTTATTTTAGGGGTTTAAGAAAGCAACATAAATGCAATCAATAATGAACTTTTTGCATGATGATAGTGAAAGCATTCTGAATATGAAAGTCAGCTCTCCTACACTCAGAGGGTTGTGCTGTGTGAGGACAGCTCATGATTGAGGGACATGGACCAGTCTCCTGGACGGACCCTCAGATGCACAGAATTACCCAGACGGGGATAGGTGAGAGTTTTCATCTATCTGAGAAACATTAGTCTGCTAAACGCCACGACAGAACAATCAGAATCAAGTATTTCAGAGAGATCTGTGTGCCCGTCAAACTGAATCTGATCTTGATCACTGAACATGACACTTTCACTGACACAGAAAGCAATGATTCTGACACACATTTACTGCGGTAACAACCACCAAAACACTACAGTCACGGTTTCTACATGGAGTCATGGTCAATTAAGTGACATATATTTCATAACATTGCTGTCATTCTTATAACAGAAACTCTAATAACTGTAGTGTTTTGGTGCAAATCCTGCTTACCAAGGCATACCACATTATTTCCTTTATAGTTACAGCATCACACACAGTGTCAGGTGAAATACGGGCCTAACATGAAGCACAGGAAGATCAGCTCAGAAACGATGAAAACACGGCAGGGCTTCGCTAGGACCAACCCTGAAGAGATTTAGCACGAACACCGTGCTGACAGACACGTTACCGCTTCACTGCGAGCACAGCTAACACCAGCAGCACGTTAGTCTCCTCAGCAGCAGCCCGTGATGAGCCGAAGCTGTCGTGTAGCTCACACACAGCACAACACGCTGCGATAGACCCCAGGAGCCGAGCTAGCATGGGTTAGCAGGTCCATTCAGCGCCACTAACTAACTAACCAGGGCTGCTAGCACTCACTCGGATGGGCTTTACTAGCCACTCTGGTCTGGAGGAAGGTGTTATAGTCAGACGCTCAGCTCCACAGACACAACTAAACCCGACGAGCTAGCCGAGCAAACAGCGACTCACCTGCTCGCGCGGAGTCGCATACTCCTAGATCGAGCATTAGAGTGATGCTTTCTGGCGACAGATGGACACAATGAGAGAGAGAGAGAGAGAGAGAGAGAGCTTCCTTGTTCCTCCGCTCCACTCTCCTGCTGTTCTCAGGCTCCTCTCACAGGTTTACACGAGCTCCTGCTCTCGTCTCTCGCTGGGTTTCTCCGAGGCTCTTCAGATATTGCCACCACAGGGCTCTTCGGGTCGTTTGCGCGTCTGGAAGACCCTCATCTGGGCTCCAGAGGGCCGATATTGCAGGCTCGTATGATTCCCGCACGCTGAACGAGAGCACGGATACACGGATAAGCGTGCCTTTGTTCGCGCTTCGCTATTGTGCTGCTCTGCTGTAGGTGTATGTTATCGAGACTCACGCATCTGCTCTCACATCGCACTCTGCTCCTGCTCCAGGAAATCAAATAAATAAATAAATATGGTAAATAAAAAATATGGAGAGTTTAAAAAAATAATAAAATACAAAAGCTCCTCCCGGTCTATTCGTCACAGCCGAAAGGCATCATGGGAAACGTGGTCCATTAGTGCCCTACCCCAAAACATTCCTGTTAGTTATAATATTGCTGATTTTTTTATAGCACAATGCTTCAGGTGTCATATCAGTTAAATCAATAAATAAAAATACAAAGTAGTGCTGTCAAACGATTAGTCGCATCCAAAATAAAAGTTTTTGTTTACATAATATGTGTGTGTATACTGTGCATATTTATCATGTATATATATAGACACACACACACACAGTGTATATTTAAGAAAAAATATGTTTATATATTAAATATATGTATATAAAATATACGAATATAAATGTATATAGATGTAAATATTTTCAAAATATATACTGTGTGTGTGTGTGTCTATATAAACATAATAAATATACACAGCACACACACATATATTATGTAAACAAAAACTTTTATTTTGGATTTGCATACAAGTTTCATCATTATGTGAACTGAAACAGTTCATTGAATCGAACTGTCTGAAAGAACCAGGTCACGGAAAATAATCAGACTTCCCTGTTTGCATGAGGCTCTGGATCACAGGTAATAATGTTGTAAATAATGTTCAGTTTCTTGCACAGACCGATTGTTTCGCTTCATAAGACCTCAATATATCATCAGGAGCCACAGGGACTCTTTTTGTGTTTCCTGATATGCTTTTTTTATTTTCAAAAAAGGGCAGCTGCTGACTTGAATTTATGAGTCACCAAGAAGCACGGTTTCAGCTAAAAATCTTCTTCACTGATTTCACTACTGAAGAACAACTAAGTCACCTACACCTAGGATGGCCTGAGGGTGAGTAAATTAGTAAATGCTCTTTTTTGAGGGGTGAACTATCCCTTTAATTGAGCGACACACTTGATAACAACAGCTCACACATCCTTAAAACAACAATCACCATATTATCGTAGACTGCATATATCGCACACCCCCATTGTTAGGCAGTCTGTTAAAATGACATGGATCATGATTTGAGAGGTTGGTCATATGATCCTCCACGAAGCAATTTCATCCATAAGTTGATTGAAATCCAGTCATTATTCTTTTATCCAGTGTGCAAGCCAAAGACAGCTACAGCAAGGAACTAATAACTCTATGTGGTGTTGGATAATGGGAGACAACAACAAAATCCTCCTCTGGCTATACAGTCAAATATAGCGTCAATAACTAGCTGCTGAATTACTGATTGAGCTGTGAGATTCATCTGTGAGGGTCTTTGGTATGATTTCCAACACATGCACACTTACAATTCACACGCACGCACCATGAAAACTGCATATTGATTGCATTGAAGTACTATTGAGTGTCACATTTGCTTATTTTAGGGGTTTAAGAAAGCAACATAAATGCAATCAATAATGAACTTTTTGCATGATGATAGTGAAAGCATTCTGAATATGAAAGTCAGCTCTCCTACACTCAGAGGGTTGTGCTGTGTGAGGACAGCTCATGATTGAGGGACATGGACCAGTCTCCTGGACGGACCCTCAGATGCACAGAATTACCCAGACGGGGATAGGTGAGAGTTTTCATCTATCTGAGAAACATTAGTCTGCTAAACGCCACGACAGAACAATCAGAATCAAGTATTTCAGAGAGATCTGTGTGCCCGTCAAACTGAATCTGATCTTGATCACTGAACATGACACTTTCACTGACACAGAAAGCAATGATTCTGACACACATTTACTGCGGTAACAACCACCAAAACACTACAGTCACGGTTTCTACATGGAGTCATGGTCAATTAAGTGACATATATTTCATAACATTGCTGTCATTCTTATAACAGAAACTCTAATAACTGTAGTGTTTTGGTGCAAATCCTGCTTACCAAGGCATACCACATTATTTCCTTTATAGTTACAGCATCACACACAGTGTCAGGTGAAATACGGGCCTAACATGAAGCACAGGAAGATCAGCTCAGAAACGATGAAAACACGGCAGGGCTTCGCTAGGACCAACCCTGAAGAGATTTAGCACGAACACCGTGCTGACAGACACGTTACCGCTTCACTGCGAGCACAGCTAACACCAGCAGCACGTTAGTCTCCTCAGCAGCAGCCCGTGATGAGCCGAAGCTGTCGTGTAGCTCACACACAGCACAACACGCTGCGATAGACCCCAGGAGCCGAGCTAGCATGGGTTAGCAGGTCCATTCAGCGCCACTAACTAACTAACCAGGGCTGCTAGCACTCACTCGGATGGGCTTTACTAGCCACTCTGGTCTGGAGGAAGGTGTTATAGTCAGACGCTCAGCTCCACAGACACAACTAAACCCGACGAGCTAGCCGAGCAAACAGCGACTCACCTGCTCGCGCGGAGTCGCATACTCCTAGATCGAGCATTAGAGTGATGCTTTCTGGCGACAGATGGACACAATGAGAGAGAGAGAGAGAGAGAGAGAGAGCTTCCTTGTTCCTCCGCTCCACTCTCCTGCTGTTCTCAGGCTCCTCTCACAGGTTTACACGAGCTCCTGCTCTCGTCTCTCGCTGGGTTTCTCCGAGGCTCTTCAGATATTGCCACCACAGGGCTCTTCGGGTCGTTTGCGCGTCTGGAAGACCCTCATCTGGGCTCCAGAGGGCCGATATTGCAGGCTCGTATGATTCCCGCACGCTGAACGAGAGCACGGATACACGGATAAGCGTGCCTTTGTTCGCGCTTCGCTATTGTGCTGCTCTGCTGTAGGTGTATGTTATCGAGACTCACGCATCTGCTCTCACATCGCACTCTGCTCCTGCTCCAGGAAATCAAATAAATAAATAAATATGGTAAATAAAAAATATGGAGAGTTTAAAAAAATAATAAAATACAAAAGCTCCTCCCGGTCTATTCGTCACAGCCGAAAGGCATCATGGGAAACGTGGTCCATTAGTGCCCTACCCCAAAACATTCCTGTTAGTTATAATATTGCTGATTTTTTTATAGCACAATGCTTCAGGTGTCATATCAGTTAAATCAATAAATAAAAATACAAAGTAGTGCTGTCAAACGATTAGTCGCATCCAAAATAAAAGTTTTTGTTTACATAATATGTGTGTGTATACTGTGCATATTTATCATGTATATATATAGACACACACACACACAGTGTATATTTAAGAAAAAATATGTTTATATATTAAATATATGTATATAAAATATACGAATATAAATGTATATAGATGTAAATATTTTCAAAATATATACTGTGTGTGTGTGTGTCTATATAAACATAATAAATATACACAGCACACACACATATATTATGTAAACAAAAACTTTTATTTTGGATGCGATTAATCGTTTGACAGCTCTCGTGTTTTTAAATCAATACAGGCAGCAGCAGCATCAAGAATAATAATAACATCACAATCAGACTAAAGTGTATCGCTGGTGTGGAAGCAGAGTGTGAGTCAATGTGTCACTGAGCGGCTAGCATTAGCAGCTAACACACACACACACACCGGCTCCCTCTGCAGCAGCTGCTGTAAACACACCCGCACAGTCCCCTGTAACACACACACACACACACACACAGCAGCGGCATCAGATCAGGCGTGTGTTTAGCGCAGAACACAGCGAAGATGATCAAGCTTTTCTCGCTGAAGCAGCAGAAGAAGGACGAGGAGTCCGCCGGAGGAACGAGAGCCGGAGCCGGCGGAAAGAAGGCGAGCGCGGCCCAGCTGCGGATACAGAAGGGTACGAGAGCACACCACCACAGACCTTCACTTATCACACACACACACACACACACTCAGGGTCGTGCTGCCAGTCCAGACTGTTCACAGACATGTTCTCGTAGCGATGAGGAGGACAGCGAAACTAGCATTAGCCGCCGCGCTAGCATGTATTAGCACACTCTTCAGTTAGTCTGCGCTGCTTCACTGTTATTATATAACGCTACTCGATGTTTGGACACTTCAGAGCAGTCGCTGGGACTGAAGCTCCTGTCTAAAGTCTCACATCACGGGAGAAACGCTCGTTTTCTGTCAGAGCAAACATTGAGGCCTAGAGTTTGATGTGTGAGTATTTAGCGGCACAGCTGGACAGATGTGGGCCTGCTGTGGCTTCTGTGTTCATGGACTCTCGGCAGCTCAGGGAGCAATAAACCTGCTCTTCTGCAGCACAACACCCATATGACTCAAACATTAACACAAGCTCCAGGGATAGTTGACCACTCTACCTTTCGTTTATCTTCTAAACACAAATTGAGGGTGTTTTAATGAAACATGAGAGATGTCTGTCCCTGTCTTTCTGACACGAATCCGTATGAACTGGGTGGTTTTCTGAAGACACACTGGTTTTATATGAAGAACACATGGTTCACATATAAACATTGAGCTCATGGTGCAGAAGGTCAGTCGCGGTTTGTTGATCATGCGTGGCTCAGAGTTTATTTCTGAATTAATCCTACATTAAATCTGTTCTTCTAAAGCGACCGTGTCTCCAGCATGTGTTCTGAAGCGTTGAAGCTGTGCTGGACTGTGCTCATAAAGCTCATCTCTCAGAGGGATGCTGATGATACTCCTCTGAAATTGTGTTTAGGAATAACTAAATTAAGTAGTTAGCAAGCCATTTAATGTGACAATGTATGAAATAAAACATAAATGTATTTAAATAGGCCTTCATAACATGTATTTTTGTGTGTGCGCAAGTGTTGAATTTACTCATATTTATGTCATTTCTGAAAAGCCCAATAGTGTCATTATTGAGCTCGAGGCAGGTCACTGTTGGTTCAGTTCAGATCACGATTTCTGCTCTTCTCAGTTTAAGCAGAATTCTCTGTGGGACATTATTTATCCTGAAAATCTTCCATTTTTAGTT